TTATTTAACTCAAGATATTGACTTGAATTTTATCTTCTGATATTTAACAGTGTTTCTCAAGCGAACTTTGCCCTTCTTGATACTCTTTGATCCTCGATCTACGTAATCCTAAGCTTAATCTCTCGTGCATCCACCTGTCACATGCAAGTAATATAATTAATAATTATGCAAATAACTTTGGATATACATTTATAATGATATATCATCATGCATTTATAATTGTGCAAACAAATTTGTCATCGAAAGATTAAGCGTCATATAAAGTGTAAATATTTATTTATGTATCGCTGTTTACCCTTATCAAAGTGTCCCACATGCATTTCCATTAATTTTATGTTTTACGAATTTCTAAATACTCGGCATCTTCAGGCTATCTCTCGTCGCTCTACTCGCGATACTGCCGATGATACCTAATCTCCGGATTTTTCAGAGGCGCGGAACACCCGAGATATCCGCGACAACTCACTCGGTCTTGAAAAACAGCACCACGACAATCCTGTATGTATTCTCGCGCCGATCGTCGTCGATATTCGTCCGTCGACCGTGAAGAGATCCCACGACGATCGCTTCCTCGTTCTCCGAATCGGAGCATCGATTCGTCCCGCGCGCGTCGCCGATAAGGGCCCCGGAGCACGTCGCGCGCGAGCAAGCGAGCGCTGATAAGCCGCGCGCGGGCCGATTACGCTCGGCGCGGAAGAACCGTACGACGGGGAAGGAAAAGCGAAAAATTGCACGGCCAGCGGTCGAAAGGTCAGTCGCGCGAGTTGAAAGTGTGTATACCGTCCCTCTCGAGAGGACCGCGCCCCGCTCGAGAGGTCCGCGCTTTAAATCCCGCTGCCCTCCCCGCCCACGCTGAATTCACGCCTCGCGTCCGGTCCGCGGCGCCGAGCCCCCGAATCCGGAGTTCATCCGCGCGGGGCGACGGGATACCGCGGGCCCCCCCCCCCCCCCCGAGAGGCGGAAGGCCGTTGCCGTCCGGCGGCGCGCTGGACGTGGGAACGTCACCTCGACGGACTCTCGACGCCGCGCGAGCTTCTAAATATTGCTCGCGCGAACGCAACGCGCACGTTCTTTCGACACCTCGGCGCGCCGCGCGCCCGACACTCCGACGGCACGGCACGGTACGGGACGGCGCGAGTTCAAATCGGCTCGCTCGCCCGCTTCCGTCGAGAAGTCAAAAGCTCTCGGAGGCGTGCGACCGCACGCGTCGAGAGTCACTTTCGATTCCGCCGTAGAGTCCGAGCGAGCCGAACTCCGGCGAGCGCGCGCTTGCGCGCAAAGTTCGAGGACGGAATGCACGGTACGCTACCTGTTGTGTGTCAGGTCGCTCGGCCCGCCCGCCTGATCGCTCGATCGGTTATAAGTCCCTCGGCCCACCGTCGATGTATATCGCCAAGCTTTACGCGGAGAATAACGCAGCTGACCGGACGGACGAACGACGAACACACGCACGCACCGCACGCACGCGTATACTCACTCACTCGCTCAGTCGCTCGTCGCAACGCGCGCCGATCGCGACGCGTCCACGCCGGAGCGTCGTCGCGTTCTCGCTGGTCGTCGGTTCACGCGAAGAACCGACCGCGCGCCGCCGCCGCCGCTGTGCTTCTCTCGCGGCAACCTTGCGCGCAGGTGAACGCAGGCCGGCCGCCCGCTCGGCCGCTCCGTCCGCGTCGGTCGCCCGGTCGGTCGAGAGCGGGCGGCCGAGAGAGCGCGAGCGAGGGAGCAACCCGCGAGCGTGCGAGCGAGCGCGCGAGATTGGCAGGTCACTCTCTTGTGTACCGCGCCGCACCGCGCGCCGGCCAGGTGCATTCTCGCGTCCCGCTTGCCTGCTTTCCTCTCTACGCCCGAGCAAACGAGCGCGCGCGGCGCGGCCGAGGCTGAGGCGAGCGTGCCGGGTAATGTTGTGTTACGTCACGCGGCCAACACGCCCGCGATATGCAACCGCGTGACCCTGCCGCTCCCGAAAAGGAGAAAGAGAGAGGGAGAGAAAAAAAGGAAGACACGAGACGGATCCGTTGTATATACGTAACGGCAAAAGACGCGACCTCGCGTCTCGCGCAATTACGCACATGGGGGTTGTAAATAAAAAAAGGACCGCGAACCGGCAAGGGGGATATCGCGTTCTCGTTTCGGATAGCTCGCTCGGATAGATCTCCCCAAAGTGCGACTATGTCGTGCAGTCACTGACGTCAAACGTGACCTCGGGGCTGTACAGTTGAGAAAGGTTAAAAGGACAAGTGTCCGAGCGGGCGATCTAAAAAGTTACGTGCAAAACCTGAAATCGCAGTAAAAGATAACGAAGACGTGGACCTGTAGGCGGATCGCGTGGGGAGGAGCGGAAGACAGAGAGAGAGAGCGGAAAAAAACAGCCAGTGTGGCAAAGAGAGCGATCGAGAGGAAATTTTAACAGAAAACGTGAGATATCTTCCGCGAAACGGAAGATACAACGAAACAGCGATAAAGAGAAAGGATACAGCAGAGAAGGAAAAAAAGACAGCGATTGGAAAAAAGAGAAACAAAAAGAAAAAAATCCACGTTTCTAGGCGCAGAATGAACAGCAGCCGCGGCCGCGAGGTCGAGTCAGCGCCGCGCGTTTTCGGGGCCGCGGCTTCTCTACGCGCGAGCGGGAGCGAGAGAACGACGACAGGCCTCGGCCCTCTCTCACTCCCCCCCCCCCCTCCCCCTACGCTCGCTCTGGTGAACGTCGCGGGTTATGTCATGTAACGCGCGTTCGCGCGATGACTTATCGGCCGACGCCGTCGAGGTCGTCGCGAATAGGTCGGACACGCGGCACGGCCGCACGACGATAAGTCGCGTCGTGACTTTTTGCGGCGGGTTTTTTCCTTTTTCTTTTTTTTTTTCCACTGCGTTACCGTACGCGCCGAACGACACGTTCCCGACGAGACGTGAAATCGCCGACGATATTCCGCCGCACGACCCGAGCGGAACGTGTCAGCGTCGGAATCGCGCACTTTATGTCGGTCCTTTCACTTATAATTTTGTAAAACGGAGACGCATCCTCGCCCCGCGGGTCTCTCCCCGTTCTCCACGCGCCCGCACGCTTCTGCGGTTTTTTTTCCTTCTTTGCTCGCGCGTAAGCGATCGGTCACCTTGTGCACGAGCTCGCGATGATCTCAGGTGTATAGCGTCTCACCTCTGGCGTATCCTTCGCCGTTGTCCGCGCACACGCGCGGACGATCGACGGACGGCGAAGCGAGAAATATTTTTGCGCGGTGTCGCGCTCTTTGTTCGCGCTCCCTTATCAACGAATAGATCGTAGATATATCCGATGAAAAAATGCGTTTTAATCGCGGTTATTCGCGCGACTCCACGCGGAAATTCCACGGTCGTTCGTTTCGGTCAACGGTTGATCGATATCCCGTCCCAGCCGTAATCCTCCGTGACAAGTCGAACAATTAAATAAGCACCGGAGTATCCTTTCCCGGTATTTTCCACAGGGGAGACGATCGTCTCGCTCTCGAATTACAGAGCACGCAGAGAAATTTGATCCGCAAACTTTTCGGTTATCGTCCGACGCGCTTTTATCTCTAATTGGAAGGGCGTTTTCCGTCAAACTCCAATTAACTTAATCGCCTGTCCGTCAAGCTCCAGTTAGCTAATTGGCGATTAACTTATCGAGCAATGTCCACATTGTGTCGTCAATACGATCGAGATTGCTAATTTTTCGCCATTTCGGAGATTCGGGATAAACAGGATTGCTAAAAATTTTGCCGCGAACGATTCCGCCGGAATTAATCCGGCCGATTAAAGTTAATCGGAGTTTGGTCGAAGTCGCCGCGAGAGGATTCACGTTTCTCCGGTTTCTCGGTTGTTCAAGGATCGTCCCGAGACGCGAATTTTGCCGGGGCAAGGGATCGCGGATCGACTCGGCGTTTTCGAGCGGTCTCAGGGAACTCGGTCGGAGGCTTTCTTCGGAGGTTCTCGGAAACCCCGACACACATACCGAGAGAACACAGTCCAGTCCGTGATCAATTACGTCTGCGGTACAACGGTACGGTCCGCGCGGCAGGTAAAGGTCGCCCGTGGGTCCGAAGGTCACCGCGCCTCTCTATCTGCCTGCCCGCGTACCGCGAATCGGCACGGATCTGACGGATCTCTGTCCCAGGCCCCGCCCCGACGACGGCGTCGCGATTATTCCTTCCGAGGAGCCCCCGCGGGCCTGCATGTGCACGGACGCGCATAAGTGTATCATCGCGTCCGAAAATAAAATCTCGCGCGCGCGGCGACACGTGCGCGACCGAAAAGGCGGCTTTGTTCTGGTTTCGCTCGCGCCGCGCCAACGGAGGCCGTTATATTGCCCAACTCTTGAATATGTATTTCCGAATGCGGACACGCGTACGTTTCGTGAGATATACCTATCCCGCGGGCGCTTGAATATGCATGAACGACGGAATCGAAATGTCAATGGTCGCGCAGAAGAAAACGGGGTAACGCTCTTCCGGGAGCTCGGGGAGGATCTTTCCGAGGAGGAAGATCGCCGAGGGAACGTCAAGAAACGTACTCCGTACACACAAGAGCGCGGTTACGTCACCGAGAGAGGAAGCCCTCGGGCGCTCGCGAGATCTACCTCGAGGTAGACGAGACTCGCCTCGTTTCCTACCCATCGACTCTCCGTCGGAGCGCAGCATCATCTGACGGTCGGGAGCAGCTCGGCGCGCAGCGAGGCGACGGCGACGGAACGGCAGCCTGCCGCGCCGCGGTGACGCCATTGATCAGCGCGCACAAGGGACACACGGTGCAAAACGCGGTCCTCCGTAACTCCGTAGTCCGTATCCGGATTTTATCGTCGCGCCGTATCCTCCTGACCCTCTCGCGACCCGGAATTTATTCGTCGCGCCCGATTCGGCCGACGCGACGGCGCTCGGCGCGAAAGAGAGAAACGAACAAGGAGACCGGACGTCGTCGTCGCGTTCTCGCCGTCGTCGACGACGACGTGCGAGTGTCGCGGACGTATGCGTGCGCGCGCGCGCACGCCTCTGCTATCCGAGAGGAAGTCACCGACGCGAAGGAGCCGTGCTCGCGAACGCGATCGCACTCTGCGCTTCGAGGGCGAGCCTCGAGTGCGAGAGAGAGAGATAGCGATAGAGAGAGAGAGGAGAGGAACCGCGACTCACCTTCGCGGCTAGCAGCGGCGACGACTGATCCGTGCCGACGCGCGATCGGGACCAGCGGGCTGGCTACCAGGCTTCGTCCGCGGGTTAGAGTTCATAACCTCTTCTAACCTTTACCTTTTCGCCGTCTCTCCTACCCGCCCCCTATCCTGCCGTCACCCCCCCACCTGCCTTCGCGGACACCCCGACATCTCGCGTCGCTCGCTGTTGCTCGCTGTGTCATCGAGCGTGTAGCGCGCCGTCGTTGAATAGCGGATGATTTTCGTCATTTTCGCGAATGCCGCGCCGCGCCGCGGCGATGAGCTACGGCGCGAGTTATCGGCGGGCGACGCCATATTTGCGAATGACGGAGGCGGAAAGTTCGATTCGGAAGAGCGAGAGATTACCGATTCGATGCCCAAAACGACGATAACTATTGAAAATATTGAAGAAAACATGTCGAAATTATGAGAATGTTAATCGAGGTTTCGTGTTACCCAAATTTCAATAGCGTTCAGAACGAAATTTCGATTAGAAAATGTAATAATAAAATTTGTGAACCAGTAACGACAATGAGCATCTTAATTTTAGAATATTGTGTGCCATTTGTTATTTATAAAGTAATAAGATAAGGCGATTAATACAAAAATAAAACACATATAATGGTTTTCAAAAGTTTACATAAAATTTCACACTGCAAATTGTAAATTTTTTCTTCATTACAGTTATATATTTTCCTTGTATCTCACAGGAATTAATTGAAAATCATGTGTTTTAAAATTTAAATTCAATTACTTTTTTTATAAAAACTCCACCATTTTCTAATTCATATTTTTGATATTTTATCTTGATATGCAATATCAAGATAAAATATATTAATATATTTACATAACGTGTGTATGCCACTCCGAAACTTATCAGAGTTTACAAGAAATCTGGGAAACGGTCCGGAAATTTTCCCTCGAAAAGGGAAATAGCGAAAACGTTGAATATGAAAAAAAATTAGTTTATTGCAAACACGTCGCACAATGTGGGGTACATACAATTTTCCGCATAATTCATCGCGAGAGCTTTACCACTAAATGTGATGTGACTACTGCTAGTATCACTACCATCCTTAATTTAATTATGTTCGTTTTAATCACACTTTTTCTTACACTTCGTTCCCTGTCTCTTTTTCTCTCTCCAAAGCTCGGATATATACCTATTTTCGTTTTAAGCGTTGGAAAGCGTAAGAAAGTGCGACTAAAACGACTTCGTTAGGATATTCCCCCGAAACGCATCTGTGGCGAATATCCCGCTTTCTGTTGTACAATGATTGTATGCTGCACGTTACATTCATACTTGCGTACATACGTAAAGTTGCAGAACATACCGATGAGCCCTATAGAATAAAATCAACCTGCCGAAAAGCGCTGCGATAACATATATCGTATCGATACAATGCCTTACAAAATTGGACTATTACTAGAAATACATTCTTACGCTTAAAATTGCATCTGATTATACAGTACAATGTAAATTAAAGTATATTAGTAGAGATATTTACATAAACGTGGCTATTACATTAAATATATGTTAGAGAAATATGGATTGGCGTCCATTATAAAGTGGAATTAAAAAAAAGCTCAGAGAGACTATATATCAATGTATAAACGCGTAACTATGTTTTATGCGATATTTAAAAAAGTTTCAGAAACCTTTGCGCCCTTCTGATTTTCTTGCTCATCCCTTAACAATAAATTTTTGCATTCTTTTTTTTTTTTTTGGTGGCTTATTGCATAAGTTTCCTACAGAGAGAAGACATTTTGTGTCAGATTATCTTAAAACGTGGCCCTGAAGAGTTTACTGATTAACGTGGTACAGTACTTAACTAGTTTTATTGTGTATCGTTGAACTTGATAGAGATCAATTTTATATCTTGTGTAAAACTTAATGTAATTTTACAAGAATTTAACGCATATCACCGTACATTGCACGTTGCAGATTGTTATGTACATGAACACTTTTTGTCAATGTCTTAACATTGTGTGGTAAAAATAATACTTAACAAAGATATTATGACAGCGAGATATTTTCATACACATGAAAAATATTTTGTTATCATAATATAAAACAGTTTCGAGAGTACTACATGTGTGTATTTGTTAGCACGTAAAAGTGTATTAATCAGAGATATCAACGTAATCTGTTAAAACGAAAATTCTGCTGATCTGGCAAACACAAATTCATTTCAATTTCAATCGTATTTGTGTAACGGTAACAAACTCTATGCTTAAAAGTTATATAATAATATAGTAATAATGATACAGACTATAGAGATTTTACACAAGTTGCAAACAAATTAAAAGAGAGACTGGCCTACTACGCAAATTATTTATAAAAAAATAACCAAATTAGACAAATATCGTATCTAAAACTTATTAAAATAATTATAATTTTGTACTAAATTTTTACTAAATAAAAAATGGATTTGAAAGAAAGAGATAAAAAATCTCCCATAATTTACTGACCCATTGAGAAATGAATATTCACGCAACACCTTTGTAATACATATATTACCTTATTAACATTTTATATAGCCTATCACCACTAAAATCAGTAGTAAAATTCATCATTACTAGTAGTAAACTATATATACTGACTTATATCGAATGTAATTTGTCCGTATGTCAAAGGGGTAGAAAGCACCGTAATAATTTTATACACAGGTTCCAAAAACCAAATTATACGATTGTTCTGTTAATTATTTCAGCAGGTACGGTAAGTCGATCACAAATATTTCTGCACATTTCAATTAAAGGCAGACAGAGTTGCTAGCAGATCTAGAATCCCCACAAAATTCCACGTAAACATCTATCAAAGTATTGTTAAGTGCCGAGGAGGTATTTCGTTCTTACCTGTAATTTTGCATCAATGGTTAATCCTAATCAATCGTTAAAGCCTTAGGCCTAATTAGGAATTAGTCGAATTGTAACGAGTCGCTTTTACTCACTTGGTTTATTAAAATTATCTCGCTCCGGTTAATGATTGCCAAATACATCCTGACTAGCGAACACAACGTACAGGAAACCGTCCGGGTCCTTCTCGTTTTGATAGAGCTCAGCCATGGTCAGACTACCGCTCACCATACTTTTCTGATTCACCAGTAGGAAAATAGCTTGCGTCGGATTCAGCTGTAGCCGACGTCTGTTTGCAACACACGAGATACATTAATAAAATTTACTTATATTCTACAAAATCTTGGACGAATCGTTACACACAGCGAAACACAAATGTACCTGATTATTTTGCAAAATTCCGCCACTGTCAGAAAGTCCGGCACCAGAAATTTACTCTTGTCCAAAAGTGGCAGCTGATTTTCTAACTTGTAACGCTCCACGATAATGGGGATTTTATTCGGATGCAGCTTTCTGATTTCCTCCGCACTAAAAGATCGCTGTTCTGGATTAACAGAAGAAAAAAAAGATCATTTGCGTATTTAATAACGTATCTTATCAATCGATGCATTTCTTAATCTATTCGGCCAAAATGATGAGCCACACTCGTGACTCCGTAAATCAAACCAAAATGCGCATCCACGTCAATTGCTTTATTTATATGTACAGTAAACTTCTTGACCTGCTTGCGTTCTATGTATAACGATATACACAGTTACATTTTAATATTGTAGAAAGTTAAATGATGCATCCACAGCGAAACGAATGCTGACCAAATGTTAAAAGAAGTTAAAAAAGAATACGATCATGTTTCATATGATATACAATAACGAGCTATGGCAAAAATAATTCAGTCGAGTGTCTTTATCAGTCGGATCCCTGGAGGCCTGATTGATCACAGAAGGGAGGATTTCAATTGAATATCTATAATGTTTTTCAATGTGGATTAATTTTAATCTCGGTTTAATTTACTTTTTATCTTTTTCTGGCTCTCTAGGATTAAAAAAAGATGAAAAGTAAGTTAAAACCGAGATTGAAGTTAATCTACCTTGAGAATCGATTACTCAACACTCACCAAAAGAGCGTTCTCGTTTGTAGCGTGGAATCCACTTGGAACTCATCTTCTACAATAACGTCGCACTACAACGGACGATTAAAGTCGCACTAAGAATAATATCCGAGATAAGAAAATGTGCATTGAACCAAGGAACGCTCTTTTGTTCTTCCGTCGAATTGCAATCAATTGCGCAATAAGAAGAAAAAAAAATTCCGTTTCCACGAAACACCTGGCACAGTGTGTGCCGCTACCTTTATAACGTCTCTCGCTGTAATTGTTATTCTTCCTCCGTGCTGGTTCACCCTTTGTTTCCGACACGCTTTGTTCCTGCGTTATCTGGTCGCGCGCTTGTCGAGGTGAGTCCCTCGTTCGGCCGTAAATGAACGCGACCATTCCTCGCGATATCGGCTCGGTCGTTGCACGACACAGATCGCGGATGGAAGATTATGATAAAAATATATAACGAGAGGGACGCGTCTCGGAGCGTTCGGAGCAGATCGAACAAGAGATCGAAGCTTCGCGAAGCGACGACCGGATCTCTCTCGAACGGTCCCCGGATATCCCTCCGGATCGAAATGAATCGGGTACGATCTCCCTTTTCGCCCTTTGTTTTCCTTACTCCGCTTTACGGCCCTATCCCTATAAACGCTCCGAGACATCACCTAGGAACTGATTAACGCAGCGACTTACCGAACGTACGTTTATCCTTGTACGATCTCCTGGGCGTCAAATTCATGTTCGTCGTGACGTTGTAACGTGCTATCACCTACTGCGACGTACGCGTTAGCGCTATCAGCTGTGGACTCGATCTCGGGTCAAAATAACGCTCTAGCATGCACAACGACGCCGTACCGAGGCTCGTCAGGTTGGGTTAGTCGGACGTGACGTAACCACGCACGCAACGTGCTCAGCCTCGTACGCGTCTCGCAGCGCAGAAAGAGGGTTCGATTCCGATCGCGAACCCCGATTTAATTTAATCGACGATTAGTCTGCTGAGTAATGCCTGTGCAGTATCTCGTTAACGCGGACGGAATTATTAATTTCTTGTCGCTCGCACGCGGAAAAAAATAGCACGGATCAGGGACGGAGAATTGCACGGGTGGTATAAATTTTGCCACGCACGATCGAAATTAATCGCTGATTGAAGTTAATCGAAGTTGATCGGAGTTTAGAATAATCTCAATAACGATAGGAAAATAGTCGTTGCGAATATATGATGAAAATCGTTACGAATATTCTTCGAAAATTGAACAACCTTTTTTAAGTCCTGAATGTTTTAAAAATGTTCTTTTTTTTGGTAACATTTTTACTTTACTATATTTTAATCCACTCGATATCTTGTAGATGATAATTTTATTTTTGAGAGTTCTAAACGTCTCGAATAATTCAACACTTTTGAAAAAGATGTTCAAGAATTTCACGTTATCTCAATATTTCCAGTTTCGAATAATACCTGACGATTCATATCTTGGAAAAGAGGACTTTCACTGCGATGGCTATTAATCTCCTTCAAAAAAAAAAAAAGATTTTCTTTCTAGATAGCAAGCTGGTGTTATCAATGTTATCATCATTTTGATGACTTCGCCCATATTTTGTTGTCAAAATGTAGAATAACGTCAGCTTGTTACTTGGAGTCATGTCTATTTTTACCAATGCAGATTAACTTTCTCGGTTTTACTCCTTATCTTTTTCTAGTTCTAAGAATTAGAACAAGATAAAAAGTAAGTTAAACCGAGATTAAAGTTAATCTGCATTGAAGTAGAAATGGACATTAGGATCCTGTTATTGCGAATTTATCTCATTGATTGTATTTTCTGCAATTTAACTCGCAATCTTCTTTTATTCATTTTACTTAAAAAAAAGACTTATATGAAATTAAGTATGTCTCTATAAAACTAATTTTCTGCAATTATTAATGTGTCACTTAATACTCCAATCAACGTCATTGACGATTGACTTATCAAGTAAAATATACTACTTTGTTAAAACATTATAAAATCGATTTTTATTATTTAACTATTTAACATATAGAGAAAAAAATTGGGCGAGAAACAACGACTTATACATGTATTATTAAATTTTTTTCCGAGCAATTCTACCGGTCGAATTAATCGTCGGTCAAGTTAATCAGAGTTTGCTCGAGCTCGTCGGGGAAAGGAACTTAAAGGCACCTAAAGTTAGTCGCGTCTAGGCACGAGTATGCCGAAACAATCACCTGATCGGTTGCGCAGATTTCCGGATGCGCGCATGCACCTAAGAATCATATGGCCAACAGTTGTCAACACATTTCCATCGAAGTGTACGTATGTACATACACTCGCCGTCCTCATTCGTCCCTTCCTTTTTCCTTCCAAATATTATCATCACTACTATACATTTATTTCAGATCTAAAAACGAAAGAAAAGGCGCAATAGCCTTTTCGGCCGAACCGGATTAACCGGATCGCGATGTTTAAATTTTAATGAAATCGCATTCGATGAATTTGAATGATTTGATATATTGACGTGCGATTCGAATGCGAATTAAAATTCACATTCTACGCGGCTGTATCGAGACTTTTATTCAAAAAATCTCCGCTAAATTTTCTCTTAAAAAATCCGTTTTAATTATTCGTTTACGTTTAAAATATATGTTTGAAATGATGTACGTAATGTTTAAGGTTTATTTTGGAGAACATAATTTGTATTGGATTTCTGTTCTAAAATCTGACACGTATCTATTTATATTTATCTACCGCGCGCGCGTGTACATATGTATTTTAATACACTTTTCATATCTATTATGAATAGCTTGATTCTTCAATCATTTACCATTTTACGCGGCGCGTGACATTATAAATGGAACATCTTAAATCTGATAGGAATTTCAGGTCGCATGAGACGGGCTTTAAACGTAATAAATGCTGAAATCCGCAGAAATCCCAATGCTGTGGACATTTTTTTTTAATTAATAAAACGACGTATATAAGCATCCTGAAGAGCTTTAGAACGCTTTATTACTGAATACAACGTTTTATACTTTATGAAGATTATTCGGTAAAAAATATTATCATGAGATGTAATAACTATTATAAATAATCGGTGACGCATTAGAGACGGACACGCAGTGTCCGACGGAAACGGAGTAGTCGTGCCGACAAGTGTCGCTCCCTCGTGGACGGACTGCGCTTCCTGACCTCGGCGACAGTGGGCAAAATCTGTCCGTGTCGTCGTCTCCCGCGAAGTCATCAACGGAACGTGCCGTCATGGAGCACAAAGTGCGCACACCAGGGACGACTCGCCTCGCCGTCGACGAGACGCTACCGCGATAACGCGGCAAGCCGGTCGACGGTATCGACTGTGATCCGTCATCGTCGTCGTCCCGTCGGAAATCCGCCTCGGGATAAACCCGCGAATCGTCGCTCGTTACGACCGACAGAACAACCGGAGCAACCGGAGTATATCGTCCGATCGCCGAGAGTCGCGCGCGACAGGCCGCTCGCCGCTCCGTAGGACCGTCTATGTGAAGCGACACGCTCCGCGGTGCGTCGCGCGTCGCAGGTCCGCGCTGGTCGCTGCGTGTTCGTCCGGCGACGGAGCCGAGCGGAGTACCGTGCGGGACAAAGAGAAACGAGAGAGGGGCAGAGGAACCGGGAGGGAGAGAGAGAGAAAGAGAGGAGAGACGTTTTTCCGACCGGCACGCGCGCAGGGCGGGCTCGAAACGTCGAAACTCGGAAACTCGCGCGAGGACGCAGAAATCCGCAAGAGAGAGACTCACTTCGGCGCCGAGCGCGTCGCGTCGCGTCGCGTCCCGTCGCGTGTCGATCGCGCCGCGAGGTCCGCCGCGAAGCCGCGAACGGGAGTTCGAGTGACAGAGGGAGAGAGTAGAAGAGAGAGAGAAAGATAGAAGAGGTTTGGGAAGGGGGACGCCCCCCTCGCGCGCGCGCGCGCGAACACCTGTGCGTGCCGCGGCGCGGCGGGACGGTACGCGAACAACGCGCGTGCGGACAGTCGCGTCCCGACCAGTCCCGACATCGCGCTGCCCGGTCGCGTATGCACCCGCGTCGTAGACAGGAGGAGCCGCCGGAGCCGGAGCGCCATGGAGGAGTCCGCGCCGGGAGCAGCGACGGCGACGTACGCGTCGTCACCGTAAAGATCCGTCCGCGGCGTGCGATCACTCCCCGCTTCCCCGCCCCGTCCCGAACCGTCGGGGCATTAACACGGGGGACCGTCGCGCGTTTCGCCCGCCGGGAGTGAGTGTGTGTGCGCGCCTCTGGTGCCGGATATCAACCCCGCGGTGCTGCTGCTGCTGGTGGTGGTGGTGGTGGTGTCGTCGTCGTGGTGTCAGTGGTGCGGTCATCGTCGCGGTCTCTCCCGCGAGACCGACGCGACGTCGCGCGCTCGAGGGGGTTAGAAAACAAAAAGAGAAAGAAAAGAATAGACATGGTGGCGTGAGAGCGCGACGGACGGAAAGGGCGACGGATCGAGCGAGACGGACGGAGGTGAGGAAGGGAGCCAAGCGGTGTTGTGTGTGCGTGCGTGTGTGTGTGTGCGACGAGAGAGCGAGAGGAAGCGACGGCGGCGGCGACGATCGGCCAGGCCAGTCAGTGCGCCACAGCCAGAAGCGACGAATTCGACCGGCGCTCCCTTTGTCTGCGCTTCAGCAGAGAGAGAGAGAGGGAGAGAGAGAGAGAGAGAGCGAGAGTGCGCGCGCGATAGGGAGCGAGTGAGTGAAAGAGAAAGAGAGAGATTCACAGCGGGGATTGTCTCGTGGCCGAGCGGACCGGATTGATGCCGACGGGCCGACGACGACGACGACGACGCTCGAGACGCGGCCTCCTCGTCCGCCCGCATCGACGTTCATGCGCGCCGTCGACACGCCGCCGTCCGGCACGGTGAGGCCGACGAGGCTGCACGTCCCGGTCGCGTCGAGCCGCGACATCTCTAATCGACCGACGACGACGCGCACGGTGTTATGTCGCCGCCGACGGTGGCCCGCGTGACTCGTCGGAGCCGGTGACGAAAAGCGCGCGCGTTTCCCCAACGGAAGGAGAGACGGAAGACGGAAAACTTGGGCTAAGGATGTGAGAGGTACAGGGGAGAATCCGGCAGAAGAGAAGGATCCTATCGGAGACAGCGATCTATACCCGACCACATTCGGATATTCGTTACGATAAAAAAAAGAACCAAAATAACACAAACAAGAGGAGAAGAAAAAGGATTGTGTTCCCTGCGTGCGAGACTATCACCGGCTTTCGCGTCGCGAGTGCGAGGAAGTGTGTTTTCGTGCGAGATTTCCGCGACGGCGGGGCGTCTGTGTTTACGTAGGTAGTCGTGAGGAAAAGTCCGAAGGCAGAGGGAGTTATCCTCCGGAGGATACGATATCGCGCGGGATACGTGTTCGCTGTCACTCCAAGAAAGAGCGCGAGAAGAAGAAAGAGAGCGCGAGGCTTGTATAACCATCGGGAGGCGGGAATCGTCTCGCCGCGAGGCGGAATCGATCGACAGCGACGGCGAGGATCGGCCGGCGAGTCGCGAGACCGGGTGAGCGCCGTCCGCCGGGGGTATTTTCGGGCACCGACGAGCGAAAGAATGGAACAGCGGCAGCGGCAACGGCAACAGCAGCGACGGCGGTGGCGGCGACGCGGCGACAGCGACCGCGGCCTCGACGGCGGAGTCGTCAAACTCGCGGCGGCCCGGTGCCAATAACCTCCGCGTTCGAGCACAGCCAACTCGCGGACAGTCGGGAGACTGGGCAGCCCCGCTTCCACGCGCGGCGATGATGCGTTCGCCCTCGTCGCGCGCGACAGGTCGTAAAATTAGAAGACGTTCGAGGCGTGCGTGCGAGCGACGACGTCGCGAGATCGCCTTCCGCGGCGCCGGTGGTTTGCGACGGTGGTACTCGACGGGCGGGAGCCTCGCCGGAGGGTCGACGACGGGCGTTACGAGAGTGCGGTTCCACAGTTCCTCCGCTGAGCGCGAGTGCCTGGGATTCGCGAGTTCGCGCGCGGGCCGACCGAGGAGGAGGAGGAGGAGGAGGAGAGGTCAACCCCGACGTCCGGAGAACCAGCGTGGTACCCCGTGATTTGTGACTCGCGTCGCCGAGTGCGCGCGCGAGTGCAACCCCTTCTAGTCCGCTGCATTTACGGAGGGCCGTCCCCCGGGGTTTTACCCCCTCCCGGGAATATAATTAGTGGAATTAATCGCGTCCAAACACGGTTCGAAGCGACGAACGCAACATTGTTTCCTGAAAGCAGCAGCGGAGTCGCGCGTTCCCGTCCCAAGAAGGACTCCGGACGGCAACTTCGTTCGCTTCAACTTCTTCAGCACGAGACTGAGAGAGAGAGACTGAGCGGTTCCTTCGTTAGTCGATTTAATTCTCCGCGTCACGCGGTCATCCTGGATATCCTCGTCTCACAGTCGTCGTCGTCATCTCAACGGAGCGGCATGTCTCCCGTAACGTCCTTGCTGTTCTTGGACGCGTCCGGCGAAAGCGCGAGGATCACGCGCGTGTCGGAAAACGCGGGGAGACGCTGATATCGCGCTCGATGACTAACCTCGACGAGGAGACACAGATAGAACGGACTAGCGAAATAAATGGTCACCAATGACTAGCTTGGCCCTATCGGCGGCGGCAAGCAGGATCGAGATGCCCCTCTCCAAAACGAATCCGTTCGTGCAGGCGGGCACGATCTCGACGCAGCCGTACATCTCGAGCAGCGAGAGCAGCAACCACCTGCCGCCGATCATCAAGGGTACCGGGCTGACCGGCCTGAAGCAGACCGGCGGCGGTGATGGTGGTGGCGGCGGCGGAGGTGGAGGCGGAGGTGGCGGCGACGACGAGTCGGTGCCTTACGTGGGCTACCAGAGACTACCGTGGAAAGGCTTCGTCGTGAGTAACTGGCAGGTGAGCCACAATTCCAGCCACAACTCGCACTCGCAACCCAACAGTCAGTCGAGCAGCCCAGTGGTGAGAAACGGCCGTTCCGACGGCAACTCCAACAGCGGTGCTGGCCGCGGAGGCGGCGGAGGCGGCGGAAACGGCGGCGGCGGTGGCGGAAGCGAGAGCGGAGGTGGTGGTGGCGGTGGCGGCGGAAACGGCGGCGGCAGTGGTGGTGTCGGCAGCAACAGCATCGTCAGCGTCAAGCCAAAGACGGCGACCATCACGCCGGAGATGGTGATGAAGCTTTACATGAACAAGCTTACGCCGTACGAGCACCACGAGATCTTCAACTATCAGCAGATCTACTTCATCGGCGCGAACGCGAAGAAACGGCCGGGCGTCATCGGCCGGCCGAACAACAACGAGTACGACAACGAACAGGGCTCGTACATTCACGTGCCGCACGACCACGTGGCGTATCGGTACGAGGTGCTGCGCGTCATCGGCAAGGGCTCGTTCGGCCAGGTGGTCAAGGCCTACGATCACAAGACGCACGAGCACGTGGCGCTCAAGATGGTGCGGAACGAGAAGCGCTTCCACCGTCAGGCGCACGAGGAGATACGTATACTGCGCAAGCTGCGCGAGCAGGACAAAGACAACACCATGAACATCATCCACATGTTCGACTCGTTCACCTTCCGCTGCCACATGTGCATCACCTTCGAGCTGCTCAGCATCAACCTGTACGAGCTCATCAAGAAGAACAACTTCAAGGGCTTCAGCTTGCAGCTCGTGCGCAAGTTCTCGCATTCGCTCCTGCTCTGCCTGGACGCGCTCTACAAGAACAAGATCATACACTGCGACATGAAGCCGGAGAACGTGTTGCTCAAGCAGCAGGGCCGCAGCGGAATCAAGGTAAACAATCCACGCGAATAATGATATAACGATAGAAATAGTAATTGCGCGGTCGTGATATTTTTTCGACAAATTATTTAGTTATTCTTCCAACTGTACGGAGTATTAAATTAAGAAGACAACATTTTTGGAGAGGAGGGAGCGATTTTGGTAATACAAGTGAATCACTTACTTTTTGCCCAAGTCCATATGGTTGTTTACACGATTCATTTTTTCTTCTAATATTCTCTAGCATTCTCATATTCTTCTTGTCATTTTGCAAATAAGAGTATTAAGATAGTCGAAAAGTGATTATTTTTATATATTTTATATCCGAGTGAATATTTTACATTTTATATCCCGATTATATTACAAAATATAAAATATCACGAAAAGTATTCACTTTTGTCTTTATCTTAATATTTTGTACACAGTATGACAAGAGGAATTGATTTATGCAAAAAGAGATATGCAGAAAAATTAACTGTTTTATCGAAACCGTTTTTATCACTGTCGTGATTAATTATTTCACTTATGTATTAAACATATTTACTCCTTTTAATGAATACCATACGCCCCCAAAGTTAAAAAAACAATCTTTTTATAAAATACTTGATATGAAAACAATTTTGCAAATAAGATTTATAGCCTATAAAGGTAAATAAGCGTGTACGTATCGTGCAATCAAAAGGCCGATAAATTATTGTCGTGTCCCAGAAACCGATATTGCGGGATTAAACCGCGATATTTCGCTGCTGCAAAATGTAAAGCGCGTGGAATTCGCGGAAATACAGATAGTCAAACAAGACAATGGAATCGCGATTACTATAAAACCGTATGCATTAAATTGCGATTGAGGACTGTACCGCGGTATAGTCCTTTAATCCTTTAAGACATTCTTTCTCCGAAACCAGAGAAAATTTATTTTGAAATTGACAGAATCGGATTTAGATTCCGTTTCTTTCCAAGTCTTTAAAGAAATAAATTAAACGTCGCTGATACACTGAACTGTTGAGTTGTGCAAATCTTACTTTTATAACTACTTAGTTTGACGCAAGTTTCTTTCGCGCAACGAAGACGCAGCGGTTGGAAGTGAAGGACTCCGCACGACTCTTATTATGAGAAAAACGTTTTCGGCCAATTTACTTGAATTTGTGATATGTTGTAAATCTCGTGTCTTTGATGAAAAGTCTCAAATTTCATCAACTTTCTATGATTAATTTCTAAATTATAGACATTTGAAAATCTTCACAAGAACCGTTCGTTTGTCTCGAGGTTTGTTTGTCTATACAAGTTTGCCTGCAACTTGTGTGCCTGCCCACATATGTGCACCCATGAACAACGATTCGTCCGAAAGATACGCATCAGCTGTTCTATCTAGTAAATTCATATATACCTATGGACAACGATTCGTCCCATACCAGATTAGTGAAGCAAGTTCGAAAGATGTACTCACCCTGTTCCATCTTCATACATGTATGCGTCATGTATGTATACACGGTGTGTATATAATTCAGAAATTAATTATAGAAAGTTGATGAAAAATTTGAGACCTTTTATATCTCTCAGAGACACAAGAACTATAACATATCACAAATTCAAGCAAATTAACCGAAAATGTTTCCCTCATAAAAATCGTGCGGGGTTCTTTTGCAGCTTATAAAGACATATGTTATACTTGATACATTCTTTGATATTTCCGATAATATTTGCGAAACAAGAACGCGAATCGCTTTCGACGGCATCTCGAGAAACCACTTATTATTTCTCGTAACGCGATCCTTTATTGACATTCCTTTATATGCTTTGCATGCGGAAGGCTTTACTACCCCACGGCGGAACGACAGATATGCCAGTGTACACCGACGATATGCACCGATGTCATGATATGAATATGACGTTCCAGGGAAATGCGAACTAACGAAATTTATATCGTTTTATTTATACCCTGCCTTTTTGCCCGCTCTATTTTGCTCTTTTTTTTTATTACCCCGTCAAAAATATACGTTTGACTATATTATACAGATAATTTTTTTATACACCTTTTTTCTGCGCTTTCACTCTACGAGCGCCTTTACTTTCGTGAGACTGGGTTTTCAATTAATGCTAATCGATATCCCGCTTCGCCCACGAAACATTTTCCATGTACACAACAGCCGCGACCTTTAGCCCCGTTCCCAAACGGGGATCCGATATCGGTGAAATCGCGCAGAAGGCTGTCGGAGAGGTTGCCTTTTCCCCTCGCAAATAATACGACGACATGCCGCTCTTCGAAAAAAAAAAATCGGACGAGTTCCTCGAGTTCACGGCTAACCGACAAACCGAGAGAACGCAAAGCAGGGAAAATTGTGTTTAGTCGTTGTGCAGGTACAGCCGCGAGACAGACATAAACTCCGTTAATCCGACATTCAATTTATCAAGGTGAAAATATGTTTGCTAAGGTTGAATTCCTTAAATCCCAGTTCTATCTAATATTTATTTCTATCAATGCAGATTAACTTTAATCTCCGTTTAACTTGCCTTTTATCTTTTTTTAAGTTCTAAGAATTGGAAAAAGATAACAAAGTAAGTTAACCCAAGATAAAGTTAATCTACATTGGTGGAAACATAAGAGCTTAAGTCGTAATAATATTCAATTTTTAGAATATTTTAAATTCAGTTTGGTCCTTGGACCCAAATTATGCCAAGACTGTGATATAATATCATTTTAGAACTTTTTTATCATAATGACATACACGGACCAATTGTGCAAATAACACTATGTTCACAATATCTGGACTTTGTCATACCCCGTTTTAGTAACACCGCGTTAAATGACTAGTCGGTTCCTAATGTTGCGCGCAATTTCGTGCATGGCGGTACTCGGTTTGTCGGAGCAATTCGCGAAACAAGACGATGGTCACAGAAAAGAACCATTCCCGCGGCACAGCTACTGCGTCTCAGAGATACTGCGGACTGGTGCGATGCACTTAACGCTGTATTGTTTACGATGATAGAAATGGGGATGTGTGCGTGAGCGGTGGTAGAAATTCTCCGGTACCAACAATTCCCAAACGGTGGCCTTCTACGAGTCCGCGGGGGAATCTGATGTATATTCGTGCTGGAAATTCTGGTCCAATGGTATCCTCTGCTTCCATTTATGCTTTTAACGGTAATTGGTAGAATGCATGGTTCTCAAGATATATCGCGTTCTTCCTGCCGTCGTTATGATTCATATTTACGTATGAATTAATAGCTTGACAATTCTGTGCGAAGGCTGAATATTTGGTATCGTTTAGATATGTAGAACGATTTCAACGCTCACGCATTGAATCAAAAACATTTCAAGAAAACCGTTATAGTTTTCTTTTCGTAAATTCTTATCCTTATTATTTTATCATGTCCAAGCTTCTTGTTGCAAGATTACGCCAATAGATAGTTTGCTCGTGTATTTACGCTGATTATACCTGACTATTTTCAGTATCACTCCCGTATCGTAATTCCGTCTTGGATAATACCACCGGTATCCAGGGTATACGTAGGTATTCCAAGTCCTTGCTCGCGGTCCCCTACTTCCTCGTCCCGGCAATGAACGTGCAAGAACGCGCGCGTACAAGTGGGAATCGCATTATCTCCGCCAACTATAGCATTCGCACGCAAGTCCGTACAAACTTTCCGAGTAAGGCCTGCCTGCCGGGTCGTGACCTTGCGAGGCCGCACGGTGGTTTACTTTGACGCCGACCCGCCGGCGCGGTCGCTCCTCGCGCCAGGCCGTAAAGCTGAAAGGCTAAGTGCTGGAAATGGGCAAAAATTAGATTTGCTTGCCCCCTCTAAGTAGCCGTAACCGATGGGCGGCAAGTTCCGATGGCCTTCCGACACTCGGAGTCTGAGGCCGACCGGACCGGTGGGGCACGTGATTCTCTTTCCGTATTGCTGCTGATTGTTCTCACAGTCTTCGACAAAGCGATGACACAGCGTTTCCGCGCCTCCGTTTCGATCCAGCGATCACGCGACCGGGACTCGAGAAATCTATATAGATGATAAATTTAAAAACGGATCGGTTTTCCCGAAATAGTGCGTCTTCACGAATTTGTTCTTTATTTGTTTTACCCGCGAGACTGGCAGCATATCCCGTTACGAGCGTAAGAGACGTCATCCCTAATAATTGATTATTATAGAATCTACATAAAATATTAAGGAAACCTCGATACAATTTCGGAGCGAATTTACAAGATGTTAACGGACCTCTTCCGCCGGTCGATTTCCGATTTCGCGATCGAATGCTATCTAATGCCGTTATCTAATGACGCATTAACGCACAAACATATAAGCGCGTCCAGAGAAAAAAAATTGCGACAGGAAGTATTACTGAAGAAATTTCCGTGAGAGTTATAGGATTGAATGCGGGGCAATGAGTCGTGCGAACGCAATGAATCGGAATCGAATCCGAACGGAGGCGATGCCAGGTTTCTTTCCCCGAGTTTCACGCTTGCACGATTAATACCGCTTCGAATTCGCTTCGAATGCGCCTCGAGTTCGCCGAGACTTCGACGCGCCCCGAAGGCGAAGGCGCGATTTTAACGCGATTAGATTCCGATTCTGCGACGTTACTGCAGAAGCAACAGCCAATTGCTATTCGTATAGCAGGATTTCCGGAAGTAATCGCGCGACCGATTATGAATATTCAAGATCGGCCTGCGTTTCATCATCCATGCTTCTCCAATTCGATTCCGTGACTCTCGCCGAGTTCTTCTCGTGTCGTTTCATCATTATCCGTAATTGATGTTGCGTAAGAAGATATCGGTTTCGGGGTCACGCACGATATCATCGATTTTACTGCACTTACGTTATATCACGATCGTGCCACTTCGCTCTTTTCTATTACGCAAAGTGGGTCACAATTTGGTGATAAAATATTAAAATGTCATAAAATGTCCTATTCTTTTTATGAAATATCGTTTCACATTCAGTGTTGTGTCCTAAATTGTCATAATTTGTATTATAATATTACGAGCGGTAATAATTTATATTAAATTAAGCTT